GTAAACTCTCTCTCCACGGAACGGGCGTTTCAGTTTGGAAAGCAAGAAGAAATCAGATGGAGCCAAATCTGGTGAATACAATTCTGCGACGGATGTTCTCACGCAAAAACCTCAATACGACCAAATAGATCAGCAATCCACGAACATCGAAAAACACAATGACCATCACCTTGACTTTTGAGCGGCTTTGGCGTGATTTCTCTAGTTTCGGCTCGTCTCATCGGCAGTTATAGTGCTCRCCATGAATCTTTAATTGAAACTCGCACGATCAAACATGCTGAAAAATACCTGTTTTCGGTACTCTTTTTGAGAAAAGTTCAGCTTTATCGGGATGAGTCGAACAAGAACGCGTTTCATACTCAAAATATCAACCAAAATCATTCAAACGGATTCGCGAGAGATGTTGAGCTCCCTTGCTACGACGATTTTCAAGCATCATAGCGTTCACTTTTTTAATATTTTCATCAGTTGAAAAGGTCGTTCAGAAAAAGACACGTTTTCAACGATCTTTCGACGGTTATGTAAATCGGTCACCATCTCACTGAAACACATTTTCAAGAGGTTCTTCACTGGCGGTTCGGAAACGAAATAAACAACGGTGTCTCAATATACATTACATTAGGCGGTATAGTTGTTTCTCCCGCGAAAGGTAGCGATGGAATTCACTTGATACTCAAAAACTCCTAAGAAGAATAGGTCATTAAATCTCATTGACCGACGTAGCATTTTAGTCTTACCACAAATTCGTTAAGTTGATTAATATCAATCCCAGGCACTCCGACCAAGATATTGCAAGCTCAGCTTGACAAAAGTTGGGTTATAGAAGAGAAAGTGAACAGCTGATTACACCTCGCTTCCCTCCACATCACTTTGGCAAAAAGCGTTCGACAAAATATTTAACCAAAGGGTTGCCTGCACTACTAATCTCATCAGCTTTGTAGCTTCCGGCGATTCGGCTGCGAACGGGCACAGAAACAAGACAGCAGACCCCACCTCCAGGGTATGGTTTAGCGATGAAATGAAAGCAAATATTTTTTTCCAAGTGAAGCTACAGAGTCCCAAACTCATAATCGTCATATTAAATTAAATAAAAAAAAATATTTTTTTGATATCTTAGGCTCTTTCAACACTTTCAGCTTACCGAAAACTCTATACTTTTTGAAAGTATTTCTTTTGTTTCACAATTTCAGAAACTTCAAATTAATTCCAAATTACCAAATGTGTGCTCTCTTATAGAGAACAAATTCGTTGAAGAAATACGAAAAATAATTGCAAGAAGCAGCGTAATTAAATTCATATGCGACCAGAGCGTTTAACTGCATTAATATTGATTGGATTTATTATTACGCGGGTAAAAATTAATTGCGAACACACGCGAGAAGTTGAATGAGTAAAACGAGGTGGCAACACACCACTTGGAAAAAACGTGCTCATGCGAGAGAGCAACGACTCTTCAAAGGTGTAAGTTGGCACTCGAACAATTGCGCAACACGGTTGCAGCCCCGTTTCTAGGTGAATTTTACGTTGAAAAAATAAATGATGAGGCAAAGTGGGGAATAAAACAATCGCACAACAGATTCGGTTGACATTTTCATGTAATATTTCCAATTTACACGCAAAAATAATTAACGCAATGGTAGTGCAAGTGCATGGCTGGCTGTAATGCCAGGGCTTTAATTAAAAGCTGCAAAAAATGCGTTTGAAAGTTGCGCATAAAGAATGACAGAGAGCATATTTGCAGTCCGGTAGGAAATTGGTTAATGTAAAATATAATAGTATGCCGATTCATCAGATGTTGTCAGTGTCCATGCTTTTGAACCATATGACAGGACAAGGGTGATGAGTGACTTGTAGAATTTAGTCTTAGTTCGTCGAGAGAGGACTTTACTTCTCAATCGCCTACTCTGTCCGAAGTAAAAACTGGTTGGCAATTCTTTTGTTTTGTTGTTGGTATTAATACTAGTTCCAAGAAATTATCTACGACTTCGAAGTTGCGACTGTCGACAGTGGCGTGGGAGCCAAGTCCGGAACGCGAAGACTGTCTGATTTATTTCGCCCTGCCGTCATTCACTATCAGACCCAATTGCTTAGCTTCTTTGTTCAACTTGGAACTAACGGCAGGGTAGTTATGGTCAATGATATCGATGTCATCGGCGTACGCGAACTACTGGCGTTCTCTTGTAGAAGAAATTACATTTTCTATTCAGCTCTAGAGCTCGAATTATTTTCTTCAGACGGAGATTGAAAAAGTCGCACGATAGAGAGTCGCCTTGTCGGAAACCTCATTTGGTATTGAGCAACTCGGAAAGGTCCTTCCYGAACCTGACTTTTGTGAAGAAGAACYAATATTGTACTTAAGAGAGTCCCGTTCCCACGAAAGTTGGGCMTAAGCTATCGGAACGGACCCAAACTTTTAGCCGACCAAGGACTGCCAACTTGACACCATATTCGAAAAAGTTATTCAAGAGAAAATCAGCCCGACAGCAGGATTAAAGGTCTAAAAAAATTAAAACAAACTGATGAAAATTTGGCTTGAAATTTTTTAAAAATTATATCACCACATAAATGGTCCACCCTTTGACGTACATATGTATACATACATATATGTTATGGATAAGGCGGAAATGCAGATAAATTGTACAAAGCTGAAATATATGCGACAGTTGACCAATTAGTATTTTCATACTTTTCCCAGCTATGTGGTGTACATATTTATCTATATAAATACTTTTAAAATTGTGTTTAAAAAACTTTCGGACTTTTTTAAAGAAAACACATTTATGTAATTAAATTTCAGCAAAAGTCTTATCGCCGTGTAATCCAAGCCTTATTTACAATAAAATCAAAAGCTGGATCTTTAATAAAGTCATGAACATTTTGCAGTTGGCAATTTTATGTGAGTTGGAAAGCGAAAGGATGGCGAAGACTTTGCGGAACATCACGAAGACGTTGCATGTACTTCTTAATACCTCTAGATATATATATAAATGAATTGCTTTTAAAAATGTCCAATGTTTTGCACCTCAACAAGAGATGGATCACAAAGACGTCTGGTACGACCCAAAGCCAGCGATCTTTTAATGTCCTTAGAGCAGTGCCCTCAAAACAGCGTCGTCATAATTGCAAGGGTGCCATACTATATAATACTTCAAATTCTTGTTACTCTTTATTTCGTRCATATTACTGAATAAGTGGCAATGAATGTAAAAATTACAGGTCTTGTCTATAAAGTAATTTCCATGTACGGGGTTCTCTTGTTAGATTTCACACTGGAAGCTTTAGTTTTACGATAAAAAAAATTAAATATTCGCTCATCCAATTGTTATTGTAGCGACGTAAAATTTTCTCACGCTGTTTTGACCAGASATTCCACACTCCTCGCTCAGATACAAATTTAAGTTTGTTTCGGGGAACTTCAAAATCTAGTTTTCTTTATAGTCAATATTTGTTCTGTGACATTGACGATCACAATCACCTGTTTAAAGTCAGTAAAAACCGCTAATTTGCCTGACGCAATAAAGCTTGACTTGACATTATCAAACCTTGCTAATAAGTAAAAAATATTTATAATTCTGGGAAGCAAGTGTCCTAAACTAAAGTCAAATATTTGAAGAAAAGAAGTCGAAGTCTCAGTGCAGAGTAATGACGGCATAACTTRTGGCCAATGTTATGCAATAATTGTTATATGTAGTTTTGGTTTTAATGATATTCGTGGGAAGTTTTTATTTTTGAAGGCGGCAATTGTTAGATCTTAGCTACAGGAATAATAAGTTCAGCGACTTCAATTCTCAAGTAAATGATCGGCGCCGCGGGAGTTCATGTGCTTTCGAAAAATTAGTCTTCATATTGGTGTGRTGTGTTCCATTAATATACGAGGAATAATATGTAATAGACAATCCCCTTGTTAGGCGTTGTGAGAAAACGTTTCGTGAGAGAGTTTTTAAAAATCTCAAATAATATATGAATTTGTTCCAGAATTTAAGTATTTTATACTCAATCTAAAGCAACTTTTTTCAGTTTTAAGGTCAGGGACAAGAATAAATATTAAATTTTGTTTTTTCGTTTTTATATGTTCGCGTTTAGGTCTCCCGATTTATTTCTTAACCAGAATAAGACCAATGATTAATACCACAATAAAAAGTTTCAGCCACATTTCTTCGATTTGTAAGAGTTAAACGCGTTCGGGTTTTCTTAGCTCCAATGACTTAACTTTCATTATTACTATGAAATTTTACCCAACTTCAATCTATAGCAGCACTTAGCACTTTATAGTAACTAGGAAGTCAGTGATCCAGTTCACTGTCCTCTCTACTTAAATAAATGTACTGCGGATGGTCATCAGGGTTCTTCACATTAGTCTTTCAAGTACACTTAACCTGTGTTGTTTCCTAATTACCTAATATTAATGACTTTGGTGCAAATAACCTTACTTCTTAGTTATCTAGTTAGCGTATTTGCTAGARTAAAGAAAACAAAGCCGTTCATATACCATATACTATAGATCAAGAAGTATTTGAACTGTTATTTACTTAGCTGGTTTTAATGTACACACCATACGAACATTTGCATGCCGGTATGTGCGTTCAATAAAGCATTTCTCATGYCTGTTTGTGTTTTCAATGAAGTACCAAAATTATAAATTAATGACGGAAAGAGTAGACGAAARGTCAAAAAAGTAATAAAATACTTACAATACAATATACACAAGTGGCGATATCCCAGAAATCAACGCCAAACCACCGAGCGCATTGCAGCCGWGAAACCAAAAATTCTCTAAAAACCCATCAACTATTTGGAGTCCATTTAATGTACTAAAAAATACATGAAATCGTGTCTGTGCCGTGTTTTATTAGTTAAAGCACATAATTTGCATTTCTCGTTCGAATCGAAGCCTCGAATTACCGCAACACCTTCTACAAATAATACATATATTGCGCAATCTAAGAGAAATATATATAACCGTAGACTTTCGCTAAAAGTATTGTTAGTTTCGCAAAGTATTATCAAGCCGAGGAGTTCTTAAAACAGTCGTGTAAAATATGAAAATTTTCGCGTTACTATTCTTGTTAGCTTGTGTCTATTGGTCAAGTGCAAGTGCTGATGTACATAAATCYGAGCAGAACAATCGCTTTGGTCTCGTGAATCAACGAGTTAGATCCTTGCGTGATGGGCTTGGTGTTAGGTTTGCTAGTAACACGAAGACACCGAAACCCGTCGCACCGCTAGRCGATGAAGATGTTGACGATCCATGGGATTTGGGCACATTCTTCGGAAAAATGAGCACAAAAGTGGGTTCGGTCGTTAAAAATGTAGTGGGCGATGTATTGGAAGTAGGTACTAGCATTAAAGTGTAAACTTTTGTCTGTAATGTTTGTTTTTTTTTGCACTGCAGTGTGTTGACAGTATATTCAAAGGCTTAATACCAGGTGGAAACAAAAAAGAAAAGAAAGATCCTAAGGATAATAAAGGTGGTAAAGGCGGTGCAGGCGCAGCAGATCCGAAACCAACTGAGGCGGTCACCGTAAAACCAACAGAATCCACAACTAGTRGTAGTACAACAGTCACMTCAACAGCATCCACGACTAGTGGCAATACCACAGTCACATCAACAGCATCCACGACTGGTGGTAATACCACCGTAAGCTCAACTCAATCCACGACTACTGTTGCTTCGGGTAAATAAACTATTGTCTCTTTAGTTGAACGTAAAGAAAGATACTGCACAATTGTATAAAGTAAAACCCTCTTAAGCAATAGCTGAAAGTGATATAACCCCGCAATCATAAACTARTAAATATGTTAAAAATTTTATGTGRACTATTCTTGCACAATATTGAATATTTTTAAGCAAATATAAAATGTTTTTTTGTTTCAAAATTAGYCTCGCGCTTAACCTTGAAATGCGTTCAATATTTTTGTTTGGCATTATTTGGGTCACAAGTTGTAAATAACGCACCGAAATTAACGGTTATCTATTGTTATTACTGTCAAATTATTATTACCAAAACAACTTGGTTAGTCTATTTATGTTGACACAGTTGGCTCTAAATATAGACATCGTCTATTGTTATAAAAAAAAGTGTGTGCTACTAAAGATTGTTAGTCTGGTAGAAGATATTTGTTTTTAATGCTTCTGCATGTTTCTGGGCGTATGAGCATTCTTGGTTCACGGTAGTTTTTTAGTAGTTTTTGGTAGGCTGTGCGGTGTCGGTTGGAAGTAGAGGTGAATAACTCGTTCCGTTCGCCAGTACGATATTGTACAGTGCGTTGTTTATTAAAGTTACTACTATAATGTATAAGCGTCGTCTCAAAAAATGTTCTTAATACTTTTGAACTGTGGCCGGAAAGATGCTTCTAAGCTAGAAAAGAATCTGGTACAATGAATAAATTAAGTGAATTCATTTCGTACCCAGAGTAAAAAGAGTAAAACAGTTAAATTTTAATGAGTTCTCAAGCAGAAATTACCTCAATTGGAGATTTTTCTTTTGTGACTTTAAAGGATTTCCTTCGATTTTTGGCATTTTGTAAATACAAAGCTTAAAATGTGACGAATTTTAATTCAYTGTTCTATCCCTCTTAAGAACCATAGTTGAAACCATAGTACAAAGCGCATTTTACATTTCTAAATATTATAATTGGAGCGGATGTCATAAGGGGCTTACCAACCTTGAGACACAATATATGTATTGTACTACTGAAGTGTACCAGATATCTATCAGTATGAAGTCTTATGATTATAATCATTACTAGGATATCGTGTGAAGTGAACTATTCAAGTAAAATGACAAAAAACGGAGAAGTAATACCCTAATGAACGCATACCGAACCTACTAGCGGTATAGGAGTCAATCCATAGGATATTTCCCACAACTTTTCTCACGGACCTGCAACACTTAATTTTTTTCGTCACATCCTATGGTTTTGAATTAAAAGTCAASGTCAAATTTATTATCCGTCACATAGTTTCTACTGAGATGGAAAAACTTATACTATATGTATGTGTCGAAGCTGGAATTGGCGGACTCAGGTTAATCCTACGTAGATATTTTCTTAAAAGACTTTGTTTCATCTAGTCAGTATTCACCATTAAACCTCTTTATGTTATTAATATATTTAAAGATATATTCACAACCATACCAAACTTGACCCGGACTGACGGAAAAAAAAAAACAAGAAAAATTTAATTTCATTCACTCACTAAAGGGGTTACATCGCTTTCCTTGGGTTAGAAAAAACCCTCTTTCAACACATTTTTTTTCATATAAAAAAATTAAATTTTTTTTTTTGA